TTTGGCCATAGAGCTGGAGTAAAGCCTTTTAGATTTTTGTATTCTTTAGAAATTAAAATCGTGACAGACAAGACTTCTTGCTTTTTAGTTAAGTCAGCTGGTAATTTAGGTTTGACTGGGTATAAATAATCTTAGATTTATTTGTGTTATTGTATTGCCCAGAATCATAATTACGGTCCAAGATAACATGTGCTACATACTAAAAAAAATAAATTTTAAACCCCACAACAAGCCAGAAACATAAAAGTGCCTAGGAATTAATCTACAGTTGATGGATAAAAGAAGTAAAAGAAGGAAGGAAACAAACAGTGACTGTGTGGTAAACTAGATGGGCAGTGCTTTCAGTACCATTGTGATAAGGCTGAGTTGTAGCAGGACTACTGCAATGCTCCCATTCCAGTATATGGTTGCTAGTTATCATGATCCTGTTTAAACTGCAAGAAGTGAATAAGACACCTCTGGGGTGCCACTTTGCCCCATAACCTCAGCTTGATGTGAGTACTGGCAGGTTGAAGGATTAATGGAAACATGGCTAAAACCTGATTGGGGTGGAAAAGCATGAGCAATCTTGACACCGTATAAATGGTGTGATGGGCTTGTCAACACTGCAGATCTGCTGTAAATGTCAAGTGGAGTTAATGCAAGCTAGAGGAAATCTCAGGCACTTCCCTGATGGTACCTAAAATTAAGTTCTGGAAAAGCGTAATAACCTTTTTGTAATATTGCAAAAACTCACTGCACAGTGAAATAAAGCCATAATTCAAATGGTCTGAACTCCAACAATAATAAACAGGGATGTGCTGTCCAATATTTAAGCCCTGACTGCTTGATCATCGTTTTATTTATTATTATAATCCATTATTTATATAGTACCCTTGGTGGATAGTGCTTCTTAGGAAAACTCCCTGTAAAGTCAAAAATTTATCACATAGGGAATTTCAGAAGCAACACAAACCAGTTGGGGATACTCGTTTCTGGGGTAAAATCCAACATTTTGGAGTACAGCAAACTTTGGTTTTCAACATTCTTTGCTAGTCTTAAAGTTGTGGGAGTGGTGCAGCCAGGTTAGCCGTGATAAGCAGCATAAACACTTCTCTCCGTCTAAAACGACGCTGTGTAATCTGTGTTAGGTTTAAGAACAAGCTCTGAGCGGCTGGGGCTGCCCGGGCTGCGCCCCGGGGGAGGTGCCGCGGGCGGGCGGGAGCGGGCTGAGCAGCCCGGCCGGAGGGTCTCAGGCTCCCTCTCGAGGACGTCGGTATTAATTACAAATAAATCCTCCACTGCTCCTGCAGCCTCTACGTGTGCAAAGGAAGGAGCAAACCCCAAATGTTACAGGCATAAGCCTAGGACAAAAGAATCCCCAGTATAAGGTTAGTCTAGAGATGGAGTAGAGAGAGGGGGATGCAGGCAATTCTGACCGCTCCTTGGGAAACACCACCAAGCTTGCCTTTTAGCAAAGGTTTTTCAAACAGGGTGGTGTGCACTGATGTGTACAAGAAAAAAATTAAATCCTAGTAAAGTTGCTAGAAAAAACATACACGCGCAAAAAAAATGGGGAAACGAAAGCAATATTTTAGCCAAGAAGGAGGAGAAATTATCTTTGCCAGAGGGGAAATATGTCTCTGAGAGCTGAGGAAGTATTTGCACGGAGTCACTGACAGTGGAACTGAATGATGACCGAGACAAGGAATACTGGATTCTAGAACCCTCTATTACATAAAACAACATTGCAGCTATTACTGTTTATTCTATCGATATTGCTATAGTTACACACAAACAGTGCTCAACGCTTACAGACAATGTGAATGCACACCCCTTGCACACTAAGTGACTTGGCCACACCTTCTGGCCATCAGCAACTCAGCCCAGCAGCCCCAGGGACATGACACTCCCACATATCACTCATGGTGACCAGAATGCACCTATGCTGATGATGGTGGGAAACCATCACTGACCCACAGCCAGGGCCACAGGTATAACTTCTCTCCCTTTGGCATACTGCAAAGGCAGGGACCTTTTCTCCAGTCTGTTTGTGGTCAGATCTGCTCCTCCACAGGTTTTGGGTTAATTTTCCCCAAATTTGGGGATGATTTCTGGTCTAGGTGTCCCACAAGCCACCTGGTGAGACAGTCCTTCATTTAGTTTGTGACATCCATCATTCTCCAGCTAGGTTCCCTTTTACTGTTAGTTTTGACCACTTAGCTTAAAGGTCAACAGTTCCTTCTCTTTTCTGTTACACCAATTGCCTTAAAACTGCATTTTGCATATTTGCCTATAGGGAAGGCTATGCAAAATCCTCCACAGAGGAGACAGGGTGAATCAGGTTTGCGTGGCAAGGTTTTGATGGTGGGGGGACTACAGGGGTGACCTCTGTGAGAAGCCACTAGAAGCTTCCCCCATGCCTGACAGCTGGCTTCAGGACAGACCCACCGCTGGCCAAGGCCAAGCCCATCAGCAGCAGCACTAGTGCCTCTGTGATAACATTTAAAAGAAGGGGAAAAAAACCTGCTGCGAAACAGCAGATGAGAGAGGAGTGAGAATAGTTTTTATGTCTCATTATCATACTCTGATTTGATTGGTAATAAATTAAATTAATTTTCCCTAAGCCAAGTCTGTTCTGCCTGTGTCAGTAATTGGTGAATGATCTCTCCCTGTCCTTATCTTGACTCACAAGTCTTTCATTATATTTTCTCTCCCCTGCTCTGCCAAGAAGGGAGAGTGATAGAGGGGCTTTGATGGGCACCTGGCATCCACTCAGGGTCAACCTACCACACAGGGTGAAGAGAAGTAACTCTAAAACTATTAATTGTCATATGCTCTACCAGAACAGGACCAGTTATCCTACTATCCCCTGAAAACCTGATAGTTAGGAGCTGGCAACCATCAAAATGGGGGCACCTCTGCAGGAGCAGATTAATCAGTAGAGAAAATGTACAGGTGACATGAATTACAGGTTCATAGTTAGGAGGGTAAACAGCTGAAAATGAGTTTCATCAGTACAAAGGTGTCAGCCTTTCTATTTAACCCAAGACCCTAAGAAGCCAGAAAAGCTTTGATTTCTATGCAAAGCTGATGAAGGAGGGTTTTTTTGTGTGTGTGACTATAAAGGAAAAAGCACCAGAGGTAGAAACTGAGCAAATGCACGATGGAGCTGAGTTTGGTGCAGAGGTGAGAACTTTGTAGTTGGTAAACGTAAATGAACTTACCTCAGGCATTAAATATATCAAATTCTCTGGTTTACCTTCCGTACCTTTCTAGTGGTGACTAAGGAAAGCCTGTTTTGTAATTACCAAGCCTTGACCTGTAGCTCTAAATCTAAGACTAGTTTAATATCCAGACTGTAACTTTCAAAGCACAGAATTTTATGAACAAGCTGTTGTCACAGCTGAAGCTGCTGCTAATCCCTGTCTTCTCTTACAGGTTTTTGCTAATAAGGATATTAATCTCTGAAATATGGACCCAAGAGACACCAGGTAAAGCTGCTGAAAACTGCTTTCACGTAACAATTTCCAGGCTTTTCCATAGATGATATCTGTGTTTGTGCGTGTGTTTCAGAAGAGTCTGAAGCTTTTGTGGCAGCCACACTTGCACATTTTTCTGAGAAACTCCAAATGTACGGGTGTCTACTCATTGTGTAACTACTCATGGCCACTCTTTGGGTTTCTATACTCTCGTATTAAGCAAGCGTTTGTGTCTTTCCTCACTCTAGTAGCAAGCGTTGATGAATTAATAGGGACTTTATTGTTCTTGCGTTCTTGAGCCTACTCATTAACCATATAATATGTAAAGTCTTTTAAATCCTATAGAAATATCAGTCCTTTGCCTGAGAAGCAACAGTTTTCTTAACCAAAACTGCTGTCTGTTTTAACTTCTTCCTTACAAATCAGAGCTGGTCCTGGAACAGCAGATACAGAGATCTGGTCCTAGGACTGTCTTGCCCTACTCACTGCAGGTGCTGTGTAAACATGTTGGCATTTACTAAAGATCAAAGTAAAAAGATACTGGAGCAGGTTTTATCCAGCTTGAACAATTGTATAGTTTCTGCACTGAATCAAGTTGGCAGCTTGGCATATAGGAAGAATAAGGTCATGTTTACCAGCATCTAATTCCCTAGTATGACCATCTCTGACACAGGAGTTGCACCTCTGGTTAACTTCAGGGTATAGTGCCAAACTCTCTAGGAAAAAGGATTCTCTCAGTGTTTGAAATGCACCATTACTATAAAAGGTCTAGTTGGCACTACCTCATTATGCCATAGAAGCATCTGTTAAATGAAAAGCCTTCTCTGGTCTCTAGTCCTACACTTAAAACAGCTTGTACCTGCTTCCCGCCTTTAAGAGGTTTGGCAGCCATAGCTTGGTTTGTGCTGTAGTGACAACTTGGGATTTGAGCTCCTCAAGCCATCCTCTTTGCTCCTCTGTGGCTCTTTCCCAGCATGAGCCAACTGGCTTCTGGTACTTGGGCAGGTGAGCAAGATAGGCTGACGGGTAGCTGATGTGGCTGGTCTCCACCCAGACTTGGCCCATGGCTCCTCCTGTGAATAGGTGTGTAGGGTTTTTTGGTTTTGTGGTTTGTTTGTGGGATTTTGTTGGTTGGGATTTTTGTGATTAGGGTGCTTTTTTCCTCTTTTCAGGAGGGTGGGGGGACTTTCTTGTTCTGGTTTTTTCCATTTAAGGTGTTCCGATTGGGGCAGCTAATTTAGTACTTTTTTTGACCCTGTTCCAAAATCCTGTTTCCGTGACTGGCTGTTGCAGGTAGCATTGCCAGCTGATCAGACATGGTTACTACTGGAATACTAATTTCAGAGCTGTTTTTTCTCCTGGAAGTATTGCCAGTAAAAAACCAAACAAACAACCTCTAACACCTCCGATTAGAGATGCTGGACTATAACTGTCATAACACTGACTTTATAAAGTAACCTGGGAAGTAACAGATTTCGGTTTGTATGTTACCTTTAATCCCCCACTTACTAATGTTTCAATATGTTCAACACAGGACCCATGAGTTCGGAGTGCTTGGGGAACATTTTGCGTATAACACTGAGTGCAGAATACTTTGAGGACAAATACTTATCTTTTTCTGTTGTTGGTAAGTTGATATAAAAGAACTTGGAGAGGGAATTACACATGGTGAAATGTTTAAAATTCTCGGAGGTCATCCTATACGAGAATTCCCTGGATTATTCTAAGATCATGGAGTTTAGTAGGTTAGACCTCATTGTAAGTAAAGCCGAATGCTACGTGTATAACTGATGCTGTAGACCTGTAGTGTGATAACTTAGCAATATCAAGTCTAAACATGGCTATCTTTGGACTCAAACTGAAATGCACATGGTAGTCTCGAAGCATGATAATGCTGGTGGGTTTCCCTCCTGGTAAAAATGTACCTGAGTAACAGCACATACTGTTCTGAAAATTCACTAGTTGAAGCTGGTGCTACATTACTAATTTCTCACTAGTGGCTTTCCACCTTCTTTGCTTATAGCTAAGGGACTTGGTGGTGGAGCTGTATAAATTCTTAATGGAGTTTAAGAAAAATTACCTGGGTCCTCTGGCTATGGGCTTAGTAGTCAACAAGTAGCACATTCAAGTGAAAAGCACCACAGAGTGGCCTGGAAGGGCAAAGTGAGATAACTTTTGGGCTATAAACATCATCAGGTGGAAGATTATACGGATAAAATGTAAACTCAGACTTGAACTAGCTCTCCATGCTAGTTAACTGTCTAACTGGATATAGTCCGTGATATCCACAATGTCTGTCTTTCTAGAATGTTAAACTCGTGTAAAAATTCACTTAATAGATGTTCTTTGGGCCCTCTTGATCCATACACAAAGAAAGACACTCTGCAATGGGGATATGTACAGTTTATAAGTATAAAGTAAATATTTTTGGAAGAAAAAAAAACACAACTCTGAAACACAAAATGAAAAAGCTCAAAACCACAAATACAGTTTTGTAGCCTAAAAAAAAAAAAATCCAAGCTAAGTTTTAGTGTGTTTGTCATCCTGGTAAGACCTGAAGAGACTCTGGCCAGTCAGGAATCAGAAAAGTGGGCCTGCCCTGAAGAGACTCTGGCCAGTCAGGAATCAGAGAAAAGTGGGCCTGTGCCAGCTGCAGATCAGACTCCTGATGTTGCTAGGCTGTTGTCTTCTGTCAGTCCTTACAGCTTTGACACTGATGACCTAACTGACTGTTCTGTCCTTACTGGGGTTTTTGCTCTTTTAGGTTTTGGTATCTTTCCATGTTGGTGAATTTTTTTTTTCTTTATTTAATCTTCAGTCCTTGAGCTTCCCTGTCCCAGTCTGTCTGTAATGTTACCTTTCTTGCTTTCTGTAGACTTTGTTACAGCTCTTAACACTTTGCAATTCTCTTATGTCTGAGCTCAGGGTATGTGTCTGGGCCCTATTGGAGCAGGGTCAGCTGAACTCTGGGGCAAGAGCAGAATGCTCAGGGAGTCTGCAGAGTGGGAGTTACACTCATTAATACGACCCTTTGTTAATTGCCCATAGATCAATCTGGGATAGCCTGGGAGCTACATGAGGCCATGGCATCACAGTGTGGCTATACAGTAACTTACAGCAATTGGAGTACCATCGAGGTTCGTGCTTCTGCACTAAGCTGCCATTCTCGCCTAGAGGTAAGTCTATTATAGGCATTTTGACTACAGTGCTGTTGTATACAACCTTTATGGGGAAGATAACCAAATTATTGATAGGTATTAATTGAGGTGTTTTAACATCTTGAACATCTATTAGCAGAAAATGATTTAATTCTCCTCAAATGTATCCAGAGGTCTGAGAATATTTCATGGTATTGACATTTGAATGGCCTACACATGAAGAAGCATATTACATATACCCTTGAAGGGTAACCGTTTTGGGTAAGAGTAGGGAATTCTGTCTGGTAGCTGCATTGCACTCTGCTCTTGTATTTAGGGTTTGAGACACATTAGGGTAAAAGCTCAAAAGTTTTGGCTGCTTGTGTTGCTTGCTCACTGCTACTATGTCATAAAATACAAGATCAGCTGTGTTTTAGGGACCACTTTTTGTCCAGTTCTGGGGCTATGTGAAAGGTTGAAGCTGCTCCCCAAAGTATGCTGCTGTGTAGCTATACATCTACACGCTTACAGCTTATGTAGTTAATCAATTAGAGAGCAGTAATGCTTCAGTACAGAGTTGCTCTTCTGTGCAGAAGCTGGTGGGTGGGTTTTGTAATTCACTTTTATGTCATAAGTATAGGTGGCGCCTAACTAGGGAAAATTGGTCTAACAAGCAAGTATTCCCTGTGTCCATGCAGAAAGATGTGTTCACAGTAACTATACAAATCAAAGCATCTCATGCTCCTGATATGAAGAATGCTACAACTCATCTGAAAAGTGCAAGTTGCTATTATGGTCCATGGAGTCCAAGAGAATTAGTATGTGAAAGTAACTACATGGAGGTAAGTACTGGAAGTACTTAGGGGAAGGTACTTAAAGTAAGGTAAGGAGGTAAGTACTGGAAGTTGCTGTCTTTGAAGTTGATTAAATGCTAGGAATGTGCATTGGAAGCAGAAATTGAATCCTCTGCCATGAACAGTTTGCTAGTGAACACACAGCATGCATCTTGAATTCAGTGATGCATTTATATTATACTTATATAGCCTACTTGCCAGCATCAATAGTCAATAAAGTTGTGAAATGGTATTCGAAAGGTTAAGTTGATGGATTGAACTCACTGAATGTTGCTGCAACAAATCTTATTTGAGATAACAGGAATGTATACATTCTGAAGGAAGTTTCCCTACTGAATTTGCTGGGGAGGAATGCAGAGGGGGAAAAAGGCCTTCTCTTGAAAGACGATATGGGAGTCAAGAACAAATTCCTGGCCCTAGCTGGAAGCAGAAATGGGAAGATAGGCAGAAAACAAAAAGAAGCTGAAATAAAGTGGACTATAGATAGTGCACCATGCATAATGGCATCTTATGCCATAATTTTTTACTTGGTGGGAGGAAACCTCCCTCTAGAAAATGATAGATTCCCTTGAAAAAGACTTCTAAGGTGTCAAAAACAAGGACGCAAGTGCCACCAGCAAATCCTTACCATGGCTTCTTCCCTTCAGGTTTCTGTCAGGAGGGAGGTTCCCCAGATGGTAAAAGACTTCATTCAAGATGAACCTGAGGACTGGACTCTTGCCTTTCCAGAAATAAAACTACAGGTTTTCTTCCTAGTAAAAGCTAGTGCTACTTCTGACACAATCATCCACCTATTCTATGACCACACAGTATAAAAATGCCCTTTCAAAAAGCACTTAAGTACGAAGAGCAGAACTTCTGTACCAAGTGGTTTTAGTATAGAGATTTTATATGCTAGAAATACACGTGGCTGTAGGCCATGTCTCCAAGGAATAAATGGAAACTGATTTATCAAAGAGCCAAGAAATCAAGTCTTCCCCAGGCAAGAGACTGTGTGTAAAAAAAAAAAAAAAAAAAAAAAAACAAAAAAAAAAAAAAAACACCACAAACAAAAAACCCCCACATTTTTAAGATTCCACAGCCCAGGAGTGAACTGTGGATAGGCTTTTTTCTTCTTGGACCCCATATTTGTGATGCAGAAATGCAGTTAATATTTTAATATGTAAAGTTTTTTGTATGTGTGAGAGGGGGAAAATTTGAAGGGGTACCCCACTAACAGTATTTAGAATAAGGCAACAAAATTATTAGGCAGTTCAACATAACAAATCATTCAATATAGTAATTCTGTTACTCTGGACAGCATGTTTAAAATGTTGATTAATTTCTCTGGGTAGGCAAAAACAGGAGAAGCCTCTATATGGCAAATAGTGTTTCATCAGCCGGAAGAAAAAAAGGCTTTGCTTGTGAGCGATGCTTGGAGTGCAGGCTATGGACTCAACATTACAGACACCAGGGTTCTGCTGCGAATACCATATGCTGCTGCGCAAATTCAGCTGGTCGAGGTTGGTATGCTTATTCTGGCCCAGGAAGCTGCCAGGCTGCGTAGGTCTAACCAGATCTCTTCCTACAGGATCAGGGAATTACCTTTTCTGCAGTGAGATCGAGTACGTTTTATAAACAGAGATGGATGATCCTGATGGTGGATACTGCTGTGGCGTGCCCTGTAGGTGAGAAACGCAGTACCTTACTCCAATGTTTGAATGCACAGGGACTGCCTTACAACTGGAGTAATGAGCTAACAGCCCTTGATATTTTGTCCCTAAGATGGTGTGGACTACACTAACAAAACAATCATCTGGACTGTTCCAAAATATATTCAAATGCTTTCTGCTGGAGCAACTAGCTTTAACGACGTGCTGCTTGAAGCTGGTGTGGACCTACACAAACTCTCCGCCAAAGAAATGGCTTCTAGGAAATACGTGTTATTGAATGACTTAAATGCAATTACAATGAAGATACCAATAGGTGCAAAAGGTGGCTATTACAAGGTTAGTGACTTATGTTAGGTGCCAGGCAACAGACTTTTGTTTTTTTCCCTCTAGGGAGAAATAATTCTTCATCCTGTTCTAATCAAATGAAGGGTGAGGGTGAGGGGGCAGAAAGTATCTATTAAAAATTCCAAAAGCCCTGGCTAAAGATAGCTATTGTAAGCACCACTTCGAAGAATTTTTTTGTACAAGCACAGATGGACAGAATCCTACACAGAACTATTGATTTGTCTCCTTCCTCAGGTTAACACAGAGCTTTTACTTTTTTAGTCCTGACATTATATTCCTTGGAGACAGTCCTAACTGGACTGTAAAGCCTACATGGGTTCTGTTGTGTTTTACATAGACCATTCAAGAGAATGCGAACAACCCATTTGTCCACCAGACCATATGATATTGGGATGGACAGAGACTGCATCTAAATCTAGTTGCTTGGAGTGAACCGAAACCTGGGCAAATGTCATAACAAATGCACTTCAAAAGAAGTGGTAGGAGGAGCCCTTTCACTGCTGAAATAGTCCCCTGCTGCTTTGAAACTTGGGAGTGGGGGACAATTTTCCAAAGGAAGCCTTCCGAGCATTCTGAGATAATCCAAACTCACAGGGATACAGCAAGTGCCACTTAAGAGTTCATGATTCCTGAGCTGAGAAGGACAATTGTTTGGAGCTGTAGCTCTAGCTGACCTTAGAATCATAGAATGGTTTGGGTTGGAAGGGACCTTAAAGATCTAGTTCCAACCCCCCCACCGTGGGCAGGGACACCTTCCACTAGACCAGGTTGCTTAAAGCCCCATCCAGCCTGGCCTTGAACACTGCCAGGGAGGGGACACCCACAGCCTTTCTGGGCAACATGTTCCATTGTCTCACCACCCTCACAGTGAAGATGCTACAACACAACTTTGATGTAAAATCATGTTGTATTAAAAGGTATTGATTTGAAATTCTAGACTTCTGTGAGCAGCGGACAGCATGGGGCAAAATACACTATCAACCCATTTTTGGAACACCAGTGGGAAGACAACAAATGGGGACTAACCAAACACACTATCATCAAGGAAATAGAAACACCATTCGAACAAGTAGAACTTGTTATAACCAACAGTAAGTAGCCTAACATTGAATTTACCGAAGGTTTTGGTACTGTTAAGAGCTTGATATTGCTGTGTTCCTCTTCAGACTTAAATCTGAGTGCGAGGCTAATGAACGTGACAGTGGGAACATTCCTCCCAGATGTGGAGCTTGTGAACTTAACCATTGAAGGAACAACTGTTGCTGTAGCTGAAGCTGTTCAGCGTGGATGTCTAATATATGAGATCAGATATGTTAATGGAAGCAAAGCCTATGTAATACAGGTCCCACTTGATGCACCAAGTATTAAGAAAGAGGTGTGTACTAAGACAGTGGAGCATACCATGGTATAGAAATGATGATATTACTTGGTGATTTTAATTTCTGAATATGATTTTCCTAGTACACGAGAGCGGACACGAGAGCGTACACCCTGAATGTCACACTTGCATTTGTAACCCATCCAACAAGTGAGACCTTCACTGTGCCAGTTGTAACAGTGTCAGCTGTTAAAGATGCAGGTAAACTAGTGGAACTTGGGCAAAACTGTACCATCTTTCTGTGACTAACCTGGCTGTGAACTCAGCTGTTAACTGGGTTAATTTCAGCCAGGGATACTGTCAATCCTAAATAGCCCTATTGAACTCTGATGGCAGATACCATCCTGGCTGACTCTTGGCTGTGTTACAGTACTGCCCAGTGCAAGAGGATTTTGTGATGGGAAGAACCTTCATCTCATCATTGCTCATGGGAATGTGGACCAAAACTGGCTGCCCTTCATCTCAGACTGGCACCTGACTCCAGAGGTTGCGGAGAAGTACAGCTACAACCTGAGGGACAATGGCACTCACTTGGCAATCTCTGTCCCTTTGTTCTCTTCCCATGTGAACTATGAGGTAAGGATGCCAGCACATAGGAATTAAAAGACGTGCTTTAGCTGTGAGTTATGAATGTGATACACTATGTCCTTGAAGCTGAAATAAAACTTCCATTTGGGATAGGCTTCAAAGGATTAATGGAGGACCGTTTTCTGCCTGTGGAAGAACACTTTAGTTTCCCTTGGTTAACATTGGCAGAAATAGGCAAGAAAAAAACTCTGCAAACTCTTTAAGGCTGAGCTATCTTTAACAGCAACTCTAGATGCAATAGGGTTTGTACTGCACTCTAATTCAAAACAACTGAAAAAGCTCATTGTGTGAGCTTCTACATTAAAAAAAATCTCCTGTGGATTTGACTTTGATCAAGCACCATTGCCTTTGGCTTGTGATAGACTATTGAAAAACTAAGAGGACAGGTTATTTGAACAGTGTCTTTATTCTCTTGTTTAACTTGTGATTGTCATCTCTAGGATTTTAATACCTCTGGAATAAAGGCTTCACTCCACTTAACCTTGAAGGATGGCATCACCTTGGCTAATAGGAGGGACTTCTCAGTTTCCTGCATATTTTCACCTTCAGAGCTAATACGTAATAACATGTTGGGGATTAGCTGTTAATGGACTTTGAGCTGCATAACTAAGTCACAAAAGTCCATGCAGTCTGAAATGTTTCTAGAGTTTATACTTGTGTGATACTCTATTTGCCTGTCAGATTTCCTACAAAGTAGTACACTACAAGTCAAATTACAGATTGGAGTGACTATACTGTCTAGTACATGGGGAGGAGGGGAGGAGGTGGGAAACCCTACTTCCCATCACACCTCCAAAATCATTAAGCTTTTTAAAAGGGTTTTGGGGTTGAACGATGAACCTCTTTGTTGTGCTAGGCTACAAAATAAAGGAGTTCGAGTCCCAATTTATATGAAAACGTATTTTTCTTTCAGAGTGCCTGCCCAATGGTACTGTAGTTATTACCGCAGTAAAATTGGTAGGAGTTGCAGACCTGGACACCAGCCTGTTTGTCTTGAGGGACAGACGGTGCAAACCCAGTCTAGTAACAGAGAAGACTGCAACCTTTAAGTTCAGTGTGAACACTTGTGGAACAAGTAGAAAGGTAAGACCTTAGTCACATGAAGTTTACTCTGCATTGGGGTAGGGTTATTACCAGAACTGACAGAGGTTCAGAGTTAAGCAGAAGTTGCAAGAAGGTCACAGCTGACTTTTTCTTCAGTAGTACATCCACACTCTTTTTCTGAGGATACTAAGTTTGGTTGGGCAGAAGTTCTTGGTAAAAATGGATTGCAAGGTCAGAGGTGCTTTCTGAAACTAGCCTTCAGTTTGACACCTCTGCATTGTTTAATAATGGACTTGAATGTGAGTTCATGCTGTTGAGATATACTCATATGCCTTGCAGAAGCTGGTTAGGTGTTACTAATGACTACCTGGCCCAAGACTAGAGCAGGTCCTGTTCCTGCCACCTATGTACTGTGTAAACAGAAAGCAGACAAAATAACACAGGATCAGATCATGCTCAAATTCAGGTCACCACAAACAGCTTGCTTCTGCAAGCGTGGCACCTCATGCTATACATTGATTCTGTCAACAGAAACAACAGATCTCTTTCTCAGGCCCAGTGCACTCCTTTTCTGAGGTGTTATGTCATATTCAAGGTATTGTTAGCTAATAAACTGTTTCTTCTGGACTATGCCATAGCTGTCAGATTTAGTTCAGTAGGCATAGGGCTGTTGGCCAGTAATTTCTGGCCATTCTTAAGTGTACTCTGCTCAGTGGAACCTGCCAGTCAAGTGAAGGGATGTGGATATTGTGTTAAAACTGAAGTAAATGCTAAAATAACTGTCCTGGTTGTAATAATGTGTATCTTTCAGTTCAATAGCACAACTATGACATATCAAAATGAGGTACTCTATTTCAGACCTGGCAGTGGTACACCAGTATACCAGTAAGTGTCATTCCCTAGAAAAAGGTTGTCCAAGGTATTTTGGTTTCTAAAAATCTAATGCTAAACCTCTTCCCTCAGGCTGAAATTTGTATGCTGGTATGCAATCAAGCAGACTGTTGATGTCCAATATGAATCGAAGAAGAACCCACCACCCAGTATTAAGCCAGGGTTTGGCTCTCTTGCTCTTTCATTGAAGCTTTTCAAAGGTAATATTTATTATTAGACTTCATAGAATCACTGAACAGTTGAGGTTGGAAGGGACCTCTGAAGGTCACCTGGTCCATCCACGCTGCTCAAGCAAGGCCACCTAGAGCAGGTTGCCTAGGACTATGTCCAGACAACTTTTGAGTACCTCCAATGATGAAGTGGAAACCTCTTTAAGGCCTGTAACAAAGGTTTTCCATTCCAGAATGCAACACAAATTGTCAAGTATCTGTAGTGTATCAGACTTAGTTAACATCACTGACATGTGTGTGGTTTTCCTGTTTGGTCTGGGCATGCTAAAAGTTTTGTGTACTGGATGTGATGTCAGCTTCTCTCTCCTATCAACTTTTTACGTGTTGCTAAGCAGAGTTAGCACTGACCGAAACAACTGTAATCTGTGTTAGAGAGGGAAGTTACATGCAGTACTGCTGTAAAATGGTAACTATGCCAGTAGAAAGGGCTGACTGAAGCCTGAACCGAATTCCTCACCCTTTACTTTTTTTTTTTCCCCACTAGTACCTTTATAGAGATGGTTTTGACTAAGCATCTTACTCCAATGGGTTTTTGGAGGGTCTGAGGCTCAGAGGATCCAAGGGATACAGTTCAAATCTTCGCTTTCATTGCCAGTTCTTAGTTTTCTACCATCCTATCCCCTTTTGTTGACACTCATACACTCTCCCAGATTGTAGTATTACTGTGCCAGAGTAAAAGGTAGTGGAAAGAAGAGCGAAGAAGAAAGCTTGCAAATACTTGCTCTGTAAAAATGAAACTATAACGTCAATATTCTCTTCTAGAGAAATCCTATTCAGAGGCCTACCAGGAATTCGAACATCCTGTTGTAACATACCTGAGGGAGGCACTGTATTTTGAAGTTGAACTGCTCCAGCCTAAAGATGCAAGACTGGAACTAAACCTGGATGACTGTTGGGCTACAAAGTCTCAAAGCCAGGACAGCCTTCCACAGTGGCCAGTCCTTATAAATGGGTAAGGAGGACTTCCCCCCTGTATTTGGTAACTGTTGAGCATAAAGCCCCTTACTGTAGGTGGGAGGAAAGGGGAAGAGGACAGAAGTCAGCCTGGATACATTTTGTCCTGATGGGCAACTCCTGCTTTGCTGTGAGTGTCAGCACAGTGTCTATGCCTTCTGGTGGCAGCAGGTCATGGAGGTGGCCAGAGGCGTTTTTAGCCAACAGCTTCCAGCTGGAAAGAAAGAACAAGAAGCAAGCCTGCCTGTGGCCAAAGGCAAGGATCATGATTGGAGGAGGCTCTATCCATATCATTATGGCCTAAGGAAAACAGAGGGGGAGGCTTCTTTGTATTTCACTGCCTTGCTTTGTTTAAATATCTGGTTGAAGTGATGAAGGTTTAGATTAAATATATTTTCTCACACTTTCCCCAAAAGGTGTGAAAACAGCAAAGACTCCCACAGAACTGTCTTCCATGAAGTTAATCATAGCCTCAGAGTAAAATTTCCTCAGCACCTAAAGAGATTTGAAGTGAAGATGTTCGCCTTTGTACAAGGCACAACTCTGTTACAAGAGCAGGTGAGATGTCTCTGTGGTCTGTGATGTGCTGTCAGCAGTCCCAACATGTGAACCTGGAGCAGTGCATGCAGCAAATGCTGTGCAAGGTCTCAGCTGGCCAGGTGCTGCCTGGGGCTATTAGCCGCCTCCTTGAAGGCATAGCACTGTAAGAACAGTAAATAAGTTAGCCACTCAGCAGTGTTCAGTTCATCTTCTTTGGGGTCAGTGAGCATATGAGGTGTTTGCCAAATAAGACTCCCCTACACATAACAAAAACATTCTTGTCTTGTAGCTGTATTTCCACTGCAGTGTGGTGATCTGCAGCACTATGCAACAGCCTTCAGGCTTTCTTTGTGCAAGGAGGTGCAATCCTGGGAAACACAGACTTGGTAAGAAAATGGGCACTTCTTAAGTCCCTCATGAATCTTTACTTAGCAATATGGCTCGTGCTCTCACAAGCTGTGTCAGATGAGACCCCTAGTCCTATTGCATGCTGTACAGAAAAATAAAAGCTGAAATGTTTTGCTAGACCGCAGTGCAGAACCACATCCACGTGGGCAAGTGTCATCTGGAGCAGTGCTTGTTAGGAAGGAAAACCGCTAGCAGAGGTTGGTGTCAATCTTCAATTACTCTGTCAAAACAGGAAGCATACTGCTGTTGTAACATAACAGACTTCTGTCTGCCTCTTTTCTCCCTGTAGGTGAATACACTGACTTTTGACAGAGACTAAACAAGAACTGCTCAGTTTTTGAAGCTGCAGTTAGGTGGCCTAAGCAAGCAGAGCCTGCCCAGACTTACAAGTAAAGACATCTCGAAAGTATCTACTGGGAAAACATATTGATGATGTCTACTGAGAAAGAGTCAGCTAACCACTACGGATGTATCTTTTTTTCTTTAAATTAAATTAGCACATTTCTCTCGTTCCTCTACAGTGTCGAACTCTTACTCTTTTGTGTGATTACTTGTATCTAGTTGTTTTGCAGTTAGAAGCATCTGTTTTGGGGTAGGGGGAGGAAGGTGGCAACAGGTGTGAAGTCAATTGTAAATCACTTAAAGCTGTTTTAAAGCTTCAGTATGACCAAAGGATTGCAGGGAGCTAAATGTCAGTAAGAGAAAGTGTTTTTTGAAGCAAGATGGGGATGAACATACTTGATCCTGTAGTAGCTACTGAGAGAACAGCTGTAAACTGTGGATCTCGCAGGAGTGTTTTGGCTCTGCAATGTCAAGTTGCCTTCCCTAGGTGGGGGGAAATCACTCATAGGTAGCATCAGTGACTGCTTAGCTGAGTAAGCTGTCAGTCTAAATGAAAAAAAAAAAGCTTTTGGTGAAGACTTGTAGTAGTAAAGATAATACATGTACTCTATCCACAAAGTGTTAAGGATTTTTCCTTACTAGAGAATACAATGATTAGGAGTTCCTTTCAGATTATCATGTCTTTTTTCTTTTTTTTTAATGGGGGGAAAATTTCTTGGTGGTTTCTTTGCATCTGAACAGTGATGGGAAAACAGTTCAGATTCAATATTGTATTCCTCCATTCTAAGGAAAGCTATTGCTTAGCATGAATCATTATCCCTTGGGGATAAAGATACAGTAATGGGTGTCTGCTTTTTAACTTTATATTAAATAGTTTTATACTATAGGGAATTTTTGTGAAGGTTAACTTGAGCAAGAAACTATTTTGTGAATCTATTTGCACTTTTTCAAAAAGCGTGGTGTCTGAAAGACTGTAGCTCTGTTGCTACAATATCTGTACAGAGATCCCACTAAACAGTTTGTGCTGTAACTATAAGCTCATCTTTCAAACTCTTGTCTGTATTCCAGCTGCCTGCTAAGCATGTCTGTAGTAGATGTCTTTTACTGTCATTTCTGGAAAAATCTGTGTGGGCTTCATGATGAGGGACGTGTCAAGTCCCTAGCTGTGCATCAAGACTGTTTTCCAACAGAGGAAAACTGTGCTAAAGGAGTCTTATTCTGTTATTCCTATGGTAGGTGAAGACTAAAGTAATAGAGCTGTGATGTTGAGGAATGAAATGTAAATATGCCAGCATGGGAAAAAAAGGAAAATGCAGAACACATAAGCCTGACAGCAGAATTGACAAGTCAATGACTTTGTGCTTATATTTTCCCCTTTGTTAACTCAGTGGGTTAAGTACTTGCTGTTCCTCAGTCTGTGGACACAATCTATTAAGAAATCGAGGGACACGCCTATAACATGCTACTGGGGTTTTGCACCTAACAGAACACAAGTACAGGCACTTTAAGTGATACAGTGACTTCACTTACATCATGCTGACTGTCTTCTAAGCATTGAGACTGTTATGCAGTGTTTTCTCCAGATAGATGAGCGGCAATCTTCATCTGCCATGACAGTGCCGTACCAGCACAGCGTAGGCTGCCTTGGCTAGCCTGAGACACATTCTCCCCTCTTACAGCTGGGTTTGGAGAAAAATGTAACAACTAGGGACTGCTGAGAGAATTAAGCATGAGGCTGGGCAGCTTATTTCAGTACTGTTAATTCTTACCTCCTCCTGGGTTTCTGATTCCTTTGTTCAAAGCAAGACTCAAGGACAACATCACTTACGAATAGAAATCTGGTGTTTACAATCTTGTCTAAGGCACTTCAATTTACTTTCATAAAATTAGTCAGTATTTTAAGATTTTTTTGTTGATAGGTATTTAAAAGTTGTTGAAAAGCAAGATGATGCACAGGTAAGCTGTGGCTCTTCGCTTCAGCTCTTCTAAAAGCTCTGCTTACTGCCATTTAGCAAAATGAGAACTGTTAATAGATAAGATGGTCCTTTACTTTTTGATATGTGGGAAAATTCAAGGAGATTCCCTTCCATGGTTGGACTAGGATTTATATAAAGCTTCTGTCAGGTTTTCCAACAGCATGAGACACACAAAATCCATTTGAATATCAGTAAAATCTTTTAAAGACATGATGGTAATACTCTCTCCCCCTCAGAGGTGTCTGTTTATACTAAAATTGAGGAATTGCCTTCCTGGTTATATATATAGAGATACATAAAAAAGAAAAAAATCCTCTTCAAGTGTTATATCAACACCTCTTTGCCTTTTAAGTGGATATTTTATGACCACATGCTTTTCCCCCTGGTATTTGGGATGTTATTTTTATATCCCTGTTAACACAAGTTGAAAGCAGATCAATCTTCTTTGTTTATACTTAATGTCTTCTGCAATTTCAACAGGTGAATGATAAAAGTTTAAGGGAAAAGAACTCTGGTGTGATTTTTTTTTTAATAGGAAAATAGGAACAATAACAGAATTGTACTGCAGACAGTTATTTCCATTTCAAATAAATGGTGGTAAGTCAGTGCTACAAGTAACCGTATTATATCTGGTCACTGATGGAAATGCAGTGTTCTTGTTTTTACTATAGTCTATATTCAATGACATGTCTAGTATTTTAAAACTCTGTACTGCTTTGGTGATTTAAAGCAGCAACAACTTACTATTAATATTGAAAAATTAAGAAACCTAACTTCATTTTCCGGCCTAATTAATTTTCTCTTTTGGTATATTGATTTGTTTTTTGTTTTAAATTTCGATGTCTTCAGTAAGACAGTAAATGCTATGCACCTCTCTCCAGAGGAAAATATGTTCTGACAACGAGCTAATGACTTGGCAAGCTTTGGTTCAAATTTTGGCTTTTGCCTCAAGTCTGTTTGAGTCTTCAGCTAGTCACTCCCAGAAAATTTCTGCTTTCCTTTGTGCATGCAAGTCCAGAAACACCTAAAACACAGTGTTAGCTAGATTCCCAAGTCCCAGAGAGGCATGTGCTTTGAAACAAATGTTTTAAAGCATACATAAGCTGAATTGGTTTCCTTATTGTACTTAGGGTAGTGATAAGAGAGCAAGCCTAGGCTCATGTTGCTGTGTAAAGAAGCAAAAAGTCAGGGGCTTTATCAGAAAGAAGGTTCAGACGGACCCAACTGCTATAGCTCGTTAAAAACAAGCTGCTTTATTGGAGCTGGCACTTCTATTCACAACAGAGTTTCCTATCTGTTAAATGCAATAATAGCAGTTGTGGTTATATGGCAAATAAGTTGGAGAGTAAAAGTAAGTCAGACCCTGGCTCCTTTGAAGCTAGGGTGTGTATACGTATATATTGTTGTGGGTAGGTTTGTTTTTTGTAAGTTACTGCCATGCAAAGCTGGAGGGATGCCCCCTGGCATCCCACCCCTAGGCAAGAGCGGACGTGGAGCTGTGGCAGCTACCAGATAAGCAGCTCTCCCAAGGAACTGGATGAAGCCCTTTTGCAGGAGGCTTTCTTCCCCCCAAGCACACCTATGTGCAGCCCAAATGTGTAACCATAAAACCTCTTGGCACCTACATGGTGCTTCTCAGTGTAGAATTTCAAAGGGCTGTCTGTGAGGGTGGGCAGCCCCAGGCTCCCCTCTGCTATGGGGGGTGAGCTCTGCAGCTTACAGAGCCAGCTTGCCTGGGGAGCTGCTTCCACATGTGAACCCTTAAGTACTGGGGAATATTCTCTCCAGGGTACTTATTCCTTCCACCAAGAAGGAATATGGCTTGCTTGCCATCTTCAGGGTATTTGTCTAGGTATCACTGCTGCTGGCAGGCAACACACCGCTGTACTCCTTTTATAGGGTAGGCAGAGAAGCTGTCACTCTCCTGAATTTGGGTGGAAAGCCTGCCCTGGAGAGTGAAGTTGTACCAATTTCCTGAATCCTGGGCTAACACTCTACTAGGCTTCCTCCTTTCCATCAGTGTGTCTTCTGCTAAATAAAGCAGCATCATGTACTTTCAGCTGCACCAGAATAGCCTCTGGTCTCTGGGGCAGAAGAATCCCAAAGCTCATTCTCTTACTGTTGATATCAGCAACTCCTCCCTCCAGCAGCACTAACTGCCTGGCTGATGGTACCAAAAGAGTTAACTTGTATAAAATCCATTATACGTAACTGCCTGCTCTGCCTTGCCTTATTCTTCCCTAATAAAATCATTAGTGTGGCTGTGGGGCAAAAATCCCTCTTTTCTCTGGCTCCTGAAACTTCAAGCATGCTGTCTCTGTGATTACACCTGGTTTCTCCCCTCAGCAATTCACAGGAGGAGTTGCTCAGGAAAGCAGCTAGTGAGGTCCAGCCATCTCGCCTGTTGTTTGGTGCCCCCCACTCATCTTTCCTCTTGCCTTTAGCCCGCTTCACTGTGCAAGTCTCCAGTGTCTTTGGGCAGAGAGAGTGTATGCACAGTCTGGGCTGTTTCTTTCTGGCTCAGTGCAGACTGGTTTTTAACGTCTGGGAGCACTTTTTTAAAAGGCAAATTGGCTACTTGTAGGTGAAGCAACTGATTCTGGGAGCAGCAGGATGGCATAATCATCTCCTCAGTAAACTGAGTGGAGGCCTAGTTCAACTAAATTGCCAAGCTTCTGTGTATCAAGGCTTTTCCTGAGATTCTAAAATCCATTTCAATTAATTTCTGTAGAGGATCTTATGATCTCTATCCCTTTTCTGCTGCCCTTTCAGCTTTATCACTAGTATCACTCATGATTTCATGTGTGAGGAAACTGTGAATGCAACAGAAAGCTAGGTGGTGGTTGTTTCTTTAATACCCACATTCTGCTCTGCACACTAGTGAGGAACTTCAAGGCCATGCTAACCTGGAAAACGGAGAGCTCTTCAAGGTGGGAGAGTTAATTTCCTTGCCTGGGATCCTCAGTTCACTCTCCTGTATCTCTTTCTTTTTGGCATGGTAAACAACTCTATCCGGTAGCCAAAATATGATCTGATTCCTCAGCCATGGGCTTCCAGTGATTGTTGGGCTGCCACTTCAGCTTTATTTCCATGTAGATTTTTAACATATTTTGTTGAGAGAAGGTGTTTGTATGTGAAAGATGTCCTCTGCTTCTGTGACTTGTGTAACTTTTTCAGACTGAGGTTCCACTTCTTTTTGCCTCTGTTCTATGAATTATTGTGATGTTGCTGCTGGAATTCGGTACAGCATTATGGACCTTACATACAGTCCTGGAGGCTAGATCTCATACCTTTTAAGTGGGGAACTTAGCTTGGTCTATCCTAAATTTCTGGGGATAGAGGAAAGAGAAGAGGAGGAACACTGACTGTATTCCATTTTATTGAAAAGTAAATAAAAAGTCCAACACTAATAGCAGCAGGACTTGTACCATCATGAATATAATAATTCAGACTATTTCCTCTGGAGCAGTGAAATGTATGTGCCAAGGGGAAGAATTACAAAAGGAGGGGGTTATAGAGATGCTCTACATTAGGCAGAGCAAGAACTCATTTCTTTCTGGGAGGGGCAGAACCAAACCTGGCAGATCTAGGAGATCCCAGTCAGAAACAAGTACTGAACCTATGCATCCTACTCATACACCTCACTCACTTTTTGCTCCCTCACATGCAGGTGGAATGAGAGATCCCCTGAAAGGGATTTGAACAAATGAAACCGTGCAAGAGTACAGTGTATTCTAGTAAACTAACACCATCTTAGATATGGGCTTTGTCCTGTTGCAGCACAGTGAGTGAACTAGGGCAGATCATTCCCTAAGGTCAGCTTAGATGCAGCCATGTTGAGCTGAAGCTTAAAGTATTTAAAGGTATGGTAGTAGCCACTGGAATTCTGGGGCTAGGGAGTAGGCACAGTCAGGGTCTACTTCACCGGCACAGAAGCCTTGCCTTTGTGGTGACTTTGAACAGTTTCTCCACCTTGGACTTGCAGGGAGACAGAAGAACTCTACAGGCACCTAACAAGCTGTAGCACGGCACATTCAGGGCCTTCATCTGCCACTTCTCTGAGCGGTGGGAAATTCTGACCCTGAGCCACTTCTCAAATCTGCACGGTGCCTCCCGCTGGTACGCTCTTTCTGCATACAGCTTTACTTAGCTTTGTCTATGAGCAGCAGCCTTATGAAGCTATCAGAGCATTCATTTGTAGATGACTGAGGTGGTAAACTGAGGCAGCAATGCTGGATGACAAGGCAAGGTCATAAATAAACTAGTGATACAAGTGGATCCTTCTGGCTCCTTGTTTCTCTGCTTTAACTATGACCTTATAAGCTTCCCTAGCTAAAGAGCTGAAAAGCATAGTTATTACTTATACTTTCAGGTGTGAAGATTTAAAGAACAAGGTTAAAAGTCTTCCCAAGCATAGACAATATAACTAACCATTAGACTTGTGAAAGACGAGGGTCTTTAACTAACATCACAGAATGATGGGACTATCTTCCTGTGCACCTGCTGGTGGTTTGCCAGCACTAGGTAAGCAAGTAGCCATTTACACCTGTCAGTGACAACAAGAGTCTTGGAGAAAGCGTATGGGATCAAGCTCCCAGTTATGGTTCTGTGCAAGATCCCATGGGCAATGTGCAATTTCACTCCCCAACAAAACGTAATCCAGACTGACTTTGTCTATGTTGCACTTTATCTGCTCGAATCTGGATCAGCTCCACAGGCTTATACTGAGGAATGCTATGCTGATATTAGTGCTGCCACCTCATATGCACAAACTTTTCTCTGGTTTGACAATTTTATAGGGCTTTAAGAAATTATTCCACTTACATTCTTGCTGAAACCTTAAAGCTTGTGAGAAATCTAACATGGGTTAAAATAAAACGGAAGCATATGGGGTAAGATTAAATTTGGTTACATCTTACGTGGTAGTGCTACCTGCATAAATTTTAATGTAGCTACTTTTCAGAGACACTGATGGATTTCATGCTGATTGCTCCAATCTGCATGTACCATGTGAGAAGAGCACTAGGGCAGCTTAGGTTGAGCCTTGGAGAAAAAAGATATATAAAGACAATTGTATTGCCTTCCAAACAGAAAGAGAGAAAGAAAAAAAAGAGAAGGATGCAATAAACTTTTAGCTTTGTGGTGCTCTACTACAAGATGTATCCACAAACTTAAACCATCTGCCCCACACAGACATGCTGATCTGTCCATCCCGGTGAGACAAGCCTGCTACCTCCTGCCTGCTGCTCTCTCTGTGCCTTATGTCTGCCCGTGGAGAAAAGGTTAATCTCATATAATTAGCTCCATGCAACTCAGACCTGGGTTTTACTCCTCCCTGTGTCTTGCTGGTCTCAGCACAGCCAAGTCTTATGAATCAGTCTGCAACAAGATTTACAAAGCAGCCATATTTTTTGGTGGTGTTGGTAAGACCTGTGTGATACCTGTCAGATAAAAGTCAGAGTAATTAATGATTAACACTATGTCCTCATTTGTTTGGTTTTTGGAGGGTTTTATTTGTGTGGTTTACAGGACTGTTACCAGCTGTAGGAAACAGCTGATCTGACAGCTTTTAATAAGGAGACATTATGGTTCCTAGAGCCCTCCTAGGTTTTAGTGCACCTTGAGAAAAAAACTTCACATCTTTCTGATACCTGAAGCAATTTATTACAGTCCAAGAGAAGGAAGATAACTCAGCCTGATCTTATTTGTTCTAACAATTTGAAGTAAAAATGTCTTCCATAATTTATCAGGCATTGAAGCAAGGTTTTTTATACATTAAATACAGAAATATTATATGTTTCTGTATATATTAATAAAGAAGATAGGCTTTAACAGCAATTTATCTATACAAAAGTCAGTTTGCTTATATTTAATTTCCAATATTTAGCAGTCATTGCTAGATTTTTACCTGTCTATCAATCAGATCTATGATACAAGATACAGACTATGACACTGATATTTGTTTACAAGCAAAAATTTTCTCACTGTTACTTAGTTTCTTGATTTTTTAGGTACGGTGAAAATGTGGATAAATAGACAATACTTGAACTAACTATACATGTTCTTCCTCATCCTAGTATTAAAGTGCCTACAAATCAATTAGTATTCTTATAATGTCATCATTTACTTTTTAAAAAATCAGTTTAAAACCTATGGATTTATTGTTGTCCTTATTAAACAGATGATCAGTCACAACAGTGATGCATAAATCCTAGGAAGATCAGTTGGCTTTCTTTTTTGTTTACTTTCGTATCAGACTAGGTTTAATATTTCTCAGAAGCTTATTATTAAAAAAAAAAAAAGACATTAAAAAAGGCAAAAAGCAAGACTTCTGCTGCTCAGGTTTTTAGGCAATCCTACATCACCTTCCAGCATCGTGTCCTACGTACAACGGTGACCCTCACTCTCCTCCCTCGCTCCGTCCTCCTCTCGCATCCCGTGCCACTGTACTCTGATGAGGAGGAAATTTTACTGTTTTTTGGTTTGTAAAGACCCTGAGCATGCTGGAACGGATGCTCCAGGTTGTGCCTACACCCGCTTGACGCTGTTGAGGAGCTCCGTCAGTTCGCTGATGTACTTGATGGTGTACTTCAGGGTTTGTATTTTGGTGAGGGGCTGTCCCCTCTGGCTGTAGACGGGTGGCAGGTAGTTGCGCAGTGTGTGGAGCGCATCGGCCAGGGTCCTCATCCGCAGCTTCTCCCTCTCGCTGGCCTTCCTCCTGCGCTGGGCAGACATCCGCACCTTGGTGCCCTTGGGCAGCCGGGCCTGCCCCGGGCTGGGAAGGTAGGCGGTGGGGAAGTCCACCAGGCTGTAGCCCACCAGGCTGCCGCCGCCGCTGCCGTAGGGGGTCTCTGCTGCTGCCGGGCAAGGGGACGAGGAGTAGGATTCGAAGGAGGGCGTCGGGGATAAGCTGTGCGGAGATGAGACGGGGTGAAGCTCAAAAGCTCCGGTGGCACTTTTCCAGTCCCAGGATGATAAGCAGATGGAGTGCTCCGAACCCAAAGCGTCTTCCATGTTTATCAACGTCTCATGCAGTTTGTCCATGCTGGAGGAGCACTTGGGAGAAGCAATACCCTCTGCCCGCCAGCAAAGGCTGGAGCCGCCGGCTGCCGAGACCTTTTTATGATGGAGGGAGGAAAGTGACAGAGTGGGAACGTGGGTTTGGCGAGAGGAGTTCAAAGGAGCGCCACAAGTGCTAAGATGGAAAATGAACTCCTGATGTGCTAGTTTCTCCTCAATGATAATTATCAACCTTCAGCTAAAAAGCCTTTAAGCTAACAGGCAACAGTGAGAAGGAGGAAAAAAAGATTATCTTCTTGCAACTAAACCAATTAAGGCTGCGCATCTATGTGTAATGTTGCACTGGGGTGGTGAGAGAGGAAAAAGAAAATTAACAATTTCACAAAACAATTTACAGATGTAGAATTTAAAGATAATGACCGCTAAAACAAACGCTGAATTTAAGCCACCAAGCCCTGATTTCTGTGTAACTGCTTGAAGGTGATAGCACTATAGCTGTGGTGGTTTGATCCATGCTGACTGCTGCTGAAGTAGTCTCTCATTATCTGCATCTTAATCGTGAAAGTCAAAGACTGTTTGTTTGGATTCATGTGTTATGGCTGTGTGGACTTCTCATTAGATTGTAACTTCTCTCTGGATCACTTTGGTTTTCAACAGAAGAAAGGAGGAAAGAACAGCAATATATTCCCTGCGGTCTGTAGATTCATTTGCTATTTTAAATCATGACTGTGGAATCAAAAAGGAAATCTGTAACTGTAAACAAAGCGAATGTCCCATTTAAAAAAAGAAATAGGAAAAATCTAATTTAAAAAAAGTCTAGGAAATAAAATAAAGTGTATAAACATTGGGCCTAGACAAAGGTTTTACACAAGAATTTAATTCAAAGTAATATACAGATTAGACGTGTAAGAGAAGACTAGAAGCTACTTCTGTAAAATTGTCTACCTCTAGGAATCCATTCTTCTGCCAAAAAAACCCTTTTCCAACCCTGACTCAATACAACAGTGAGGCAGTTCAAGTGAAAATGTGTATCTTACAAATTAATAGCATTAATAATGAGCACTTTTCATCACTAGGCTTCAGAGCATCTTACAGTGATGATTAATGGTCTCTGTTACTCTGGGGAAAAGGATAAGCAGAAACAAGGAGTAACTTGCCCAAAATTACACAGCAAATCATGAGGAGAGCCAGGAAAACTGTACAAACTACTGAGATCTGCAGCTCTACAGAGCAGCTTGGCAGGCAGCCGTGACTTTGTATCAGCCATAATGGAAGCAAAATATATTATATAATGAAAAGAAGGGGAGAAAGTTTGCTAACCTGAAGGAAAAAGAAAAGTAGTATTTATTTTAGAGATTCCTTCTGTATAACTATCTCTGCATGCACCATGATCCACTCTGAAAAAAGGGGGCAACAACTCTGAATGACACACCACTGAGAGAAGCTGACGCTTTCTGGAACAAACCACTTCTTTCTGGTTGTGAAACCCTCACTACAACACTCAGGAAAAAAACAACAATCCAATACTCATCTATAGCCACTAGGAAGGCTGTTGTGAATTTTTATAAGTTTGGGATCAAAATGTTGGGAAGCAGCTTGTGGGAGACCTATTTATGCTGAGACGAAGAAAGAACCAAAAAGTAAAGGATTTTTGCATTTCAACCTGGTCTGAGAGAGTTTGACCATGATGACATCTACTCCATGCAGAAACTTGGGACACAGTTGTCTGCAGTCAGGATTGCTTTGGATTTTATGGTTACCCTATCATATTCTGAGCTCTGCTTTACTGCTTCTTTAAGGAAAACGAGATGAAACGGTCCTAAGAATCACAAATGCCTACTACAAATTAAAATTAAGACAAGATGAACAACAGGTATTTTCTGTGACTTCAGTAAACTAAATCAGTTTCATTGAGCACCAAGACAATGATCACAAGGTCACAAGTTAGACACAAGGTCTAATTTAGCATAAATAGGGGACTTGTTTTTATCCCAGTTAAAATCTCTCTCCTACTCTTTTTCTATTTTTCCTCCCTGTATTTGTGTTTATAATGCCTTTTCCATTTGACATGTCCCCTGCTCTTATTTTATGTCTTTCCATTTTTTGGTAAACACAGTTAAAAGTCTACAAATAGACAAAAATCGGGAGGGGCAGGTGGAAGAGGAGGAATTTCTGTCACGGTGTGTCAAGGAAAATAAACTAGCAAATATACATTTGTGTACATATAAATATATTAAAAGTACACATATTGAACATACATATAAAGTGTTCTGTTCAGCAGTTTTTATTTTGGAATCAAATGTTAATTAAATGCTGTCAAATTTAGAAGCAAAAATTTCAAAATGTCACGTGTTTGCTGACTATAAACAGTGCATGTTGCCATTTAATTTATACCCCTAATCTATGGGTAAATCATAGAAAGTGTTGCCCAGACACCAAGGGCGAAAAGATTTTTTGCATGTCCAAGATGTCCTTTCTGTAAATGACAGGTGAACACAATCAGATTTCATTTCTGTATTCTTATACATATGCATTCGGATGAGATTAGGTAGGGAAGAGGAATCCAAATTATAGCAATAGCTGTCTCTTTTCTTGTATCTTATGGATAAATGTTTAGAGGGACCAAGGCAGGATATTAGAGTATGTAGATGACTGCTTTGGTTGCATGAAAAATCACAGGATCTTGTAAGCTTATGCTCTTATAAACTGTTACACAGGCAAGAAAAATATTATAGGCTTTTCTATATTGATATATAACACAGTGCTAATGCTCATACTTGAGAACTGCCTTGCAGTTGTGCATCCTGTTTTATTACCATCATGCTCTACTGGAGTTATTTGAGCTTGGAGCCACCTAGTTACATCCCAAACTTTGCCTGACTCGGTTCAGGGGATGCCACTGAGGGCTAGGGGTGAGCAAAGGGTTTACCCATATGAAAGCAAGCTTTGCCATAATGTGCCTTCAGAGCTTAAGGGGCTGTGGCCCTGTTTGCTCTACTGGTATAGATGCAGCCAAAGGTTCAGTTTTGAAAAATAGGCACCCATTTCTACCCACAGCCCCCAGGTTCCCAAAATGTACTCACATTAAGTGTGCCTCAGTGTTGGCCAATTTGAGAAGCTGTGTAACATCTCTCTCCACGATCTCTGTATGATCCATTGCCTATGTAAACCAACAGAGTCTCATGGCATGTAGCTGTTCTTGGACTAGCCAGTTTTGGAGTGCACTATGTTTCCACTGGCAAGTATGATAATCCAGAGTTAGGAAATTATCTGGCAAGGTAGAGACAATTATAGCAGGCAAAACTTACTGGAAATGGCAGAATAGCTCACAGTGATTATTTATAACAGAGCCTCAAATGTACCATACAGAGGAAGGCACGGCTACAGGCTGGATACTAGGTTTATTTATCTATACCCTATGATTATTTATGCTCTCCCACTAAATTGCTAAGAAAGCCTAGTATTTCAGGTGGCATCTTCCTAGAAAGTAAATCCATGGGGGGAAAAAAAAAAAGTGCTTCCAATCTTTGTTTTATTCTACGTCTTGCATATTTTAGGAACTCCTTTTTTGTCTGTCAGTAGCGCTAAAACGTTGAAGGCTAGTGAGATATGAAGCTGACACCAGCAAAATACAAACTGACACTTAAAAGATGATAAGGCATTTGCTGCTTGATTGATAGTTTTTATTTTCATTTCAGTAATTTATTCTGCAATACAAAGGCTAACTTCTCAGACTTCATCTCCTTTAAAATAAAAGATTCCCTGTTCATATCTCTGAATTCGTTACAGAAAGGAGGAGAAGCATGGATGCATAGAAGGAGCAAAAATGTTTCCATTTGAAAAAAAAAAAACACCCAAGAAATAGGAAATTTTTAAAGTTTCCATATGTGTCTGAAACAGGTTTTAAATCTAAAAATAAGTTGTCCAGATAATCACTGTCATCCACAAGTATGGTAGATAAATGCATTTTTTGTCTAGAGTTATTTAAGGACTGATCTACATTTTTTTTTTCCTATATTAGAGTATATATCCACCAAGCTGTGAGTCTGGTAGTAGCAATAAGTAAAAAATCATATTGGATGGGAGAAATGCAGGCTGAAACTGAGCAAACATGGATAAATGAGTTTCAACTAATCCTGTAACAGTCAGCCTCCTTTACAATTAGGACAGAAGTCTAGTCTTATTTTATTGACATGAAGCAGATCATACCAATATTCTTGTAGAGCACTTAGACAATAAAGCCTCATCTTGCAGTTTGTACCATGCATAAATATCTATTTCCCAAAAGCTTTTACAGTCACTTTGTCTCTTATTTAAGAAGAGGTTTCCCAAGTATTAGCTGCTCCACTGCTCACTCTGTAAAGCAGCCGTTTCCATCCTGCTTTACAGAGGCGCAAACAAGGAGTCAATCACCCGTATATAAAATGTGGGGCGAGCAGCTGCAGGTCTCACTAACTTCAGCAGACGCAGCAGGTGTTCAACACTTCTGAAAAATAGTGTTGAACACCTCAGTTTATGCCCAAGCTGGCAATAAAGGAAGGAAGAGATCCACCACATTTGTTTGGAGTCACATTAGCCACCCGACAATGTTTCTCTCCATTTTAAGACTTTCCTTTAGTTTGGATAGATGCAATTTTTTAAAATGAGTGGGCTTTGAAGCTTTTTCTCTACTTGTGGAAGATGGTTGAATCTGGGCCCAACCTCATTGAAATAAATAAGACTTCTTGGTAAGTAAGCTGGTCAACATACATATACTTTTTCTTTTTTTTTTTTTTTTTTTTCTTAGTCAATATGCCAAAGAATGCAGATTAATAGCCAGCTACAATTCCCAGAGTGAAAGAAGGCAATTAGAGAACCAGGACTGATCCTGAGTCCAGCCCTTTGAAAGGGACCCCACACCCTTACTATAACCAATGAAAATCATGTGTAAATCGGATGTCTAATTATTATTACTGCCTTTGGCCAAAACAACCGGTGGCTGCACAAAAGAAAACATTGTTATTCATTTATAGTAAGATCAGAAA